TCTCTGACCCTTTCCTCGCAGAGTATGGCCACGCCGACCTCAAAATCACCAAGGTTAATAGTAATGTCGACCGCCTCTTTGCTGGATTGGGGGATGAAATTCCTGTGTTCATGTCCCACTTCGACAAGCTAGTTAGCCTGCCTGCTGTGAGTGAAATGACTTCGTATTTCCGAAGCACTTTTATTGACTCTAATAGGGTTTCGTGATCATTGCGGACACCAAGAACTCAGAGTACGCCGGCATCGCCCATGAGGAGAAGCCCATCTTTGGTTTGTCTTCCCCCAAGCTGCCTTTGTGGCCCAGTAAGGGAATATGCTAACGCAAGGTGACTAGGCGTCCAATTCCACCCTGAGCTCGAACACGTTCGTCACCCCCAAGGTATTACACTATAACTCCCTCTAATATTCAGATCTAGACACCCCGCGGAAGCGAGATCCTCCGCAACTTCAGTGTTGATATCTGCGGCGCTAAACCGAGTTGGAAAATGGGCGACTTCGCTCAGCTCGAGATCGCTCGCATCCGCGATCTTGTTGGTGACCGAGCACTCGTCCTTGGAGCTGTCAGCGGTGGTGTGGATAGCACTGTGGGAGCAGCCCTCATGCGTGATGCCATCGGAGACCGCTTTAAGGCCATTCTCATCGACACTGGATGTATGCGTCTCAATGAGTGCGAGGAAGTCAAGGCCACGCTTGGCGAACACCTTGGCATTAATCTCACAGTTGTCGAGGCTGGCGAGCTGTTCTTGGGTCGTCTTGCGGGTGTTTCTGACCCCGAAAAGAAGCGGAAGATCATTGGATCAACTTGTGCGTACTTCAAGCTGTCCGGGATTTGTTAGTGACAGGGTACTAACGACATCGAAGTCATCGATCTGTTCGAGAAAGAGGCTATTAGGGTACGCTCGACCTTCTCTGACAGGCTATTTGGCTGGCTAACAGGACTTGCAGATCGAGAAGGAGGCAGAAAACACCCCCAACACCGGGAAGGTGGAATGGTTCTTGCAAGGGACACTGTACCCTGACGTGTAAGTCATTTTGCGCTGATTGCCGGGTCCAAGCTAATAACATTTTAGTATCGAATCTTTGAGCTTCCGCGGGCCTTCGGCCACTATCAAGAGTAAGAGAGTCAACGAAGTCTCGGGAGCAGAAGACTGCCCCACGGACAAAAGAGAGAACAGAAGCTGACATTTGAAATAGCTCACCACAACGTAGGCGGTCTGCCTGAGGTAAGCAATACCACCGTCCCGAATACAAAAGGATCTTAACTAACCAGCATTAGCGGATGATGAACGGCGTAAGTCGAGCTAACCTGGCATCCTTTGATTTGCTTACTAACCAACATGGCTCGTTTAGCAAGGTTTGCGTGTAAGTATACTTTCCATCTCTTCATCAACGCACAGAAAGCTGACGGGACTTCTGTTACAGCTTATTGAGCCGCTTAGACTTTTGTTCAAGGATGAAGTGAGGGCCATTGGCCGACAGCTAGGCATACACGAGTCACTAGTGAACCGACACCCCTTCCCGGGTCCTGGCATTGCCATTCGCATCCTCGGCGACGTTACCAAGGAGCGAGTAGAGATCGCCCGCAAGGCTGATCACATCTTCATCAGCATGATCAAGGAGGCCGGCCTTTACGACCAGGTAAGTCGGGTCACACACGCGAAGAAGGGTGCAAGCTAACTTTCTTCTACAGATATCTCAAGCCTTTGCTGGTCTCGATACTAACCGCAGTGTTGGTGTTTTCGGTGATCAGCGAGTTTGGGGTTACATCGTGATTCTCCGTGCTGTTCGTACCAAGGATTTCATGAGCGCAGAAGTGTTTGACTTCAGTAACTCCTTCCTCCAGGTGAGTCAGGTCTTGGTTATACTTCGGGCTCTCCGCAAAGTGGGTGGGTCCTATACCACGGACCCAACCCACTCCATCCCTTCCCACACAAAGGCCCAATGTCTATTTCCTATACTTACTAACCTGTCTACCCTAGGATGTTTCGCGTGCCATTTGCAACAAGGTAGAGGGTGTTGCCCGTGTCGTCTATGATTTGTAAGTATAAGTCTTGGCCTCTATTGGTCTCGAGCCATGCGCTGACAGTTTGTCTTTCTAGAACCTCAAAGCCCCCTGGTACCATTGAGCTAGAATAGGCGACATGATAGAGGGGAGGCAAACAGAAGATTAATCACTTGCCAGCGTGAGCTAGGAGCAAATATATTGTTCCGGAGGAACTTCTACGTTGTTACCGGAGCAAGCAAGGGAACGAGAATTGGATTAAAATGGTGATATTATCGAGAAAAGAGGGAAGAAAAGCACATCAGGCTGCGAAACGCCCCTGAGCAGTCTCTACAGGCAATGCTTTCCGCTATCTATTTGCACAATACTTTGTTGCATAGTCACATTATCCCATGCGTTGTGTTGATTTCGAATCGCGGACACTGATTCTCACATACAATTGATTTGAAGACAGTCATTTATATCGCAGATAGAATGCCATTTAACTATGCTGATCAATGAATTTTTATGAGGTTATCTAGGCACTACGTAGTTTTGTCTTCAAATTTGCTAGTATCGGTTGACTCGTGCCGGAGTAAGTAGATCAATAATCTATGACAGTACTGCTTATATCGACTCTATACCCGATACCTCCCGAGCTCCTCTGATTGGCCGATTAGAGATCGATCAACACGTCATTACCAAGGTTCGTCCCGACAGTTCACGATGTATCGTATGTTCGGGAGGTGTATATATAGTAGATGAAAGAGTCTTTGACATCATCTAGCAGAGCATTCTTAAACCCAAATAAGACACGATATCCAGAATTCTACACTATATATTTTTCATCAAATTTGCCCAAGATGACTGAAGGTTCGTGACTTTTTTTACTTAAGCCTTCTAACCTCATATTCTAACCCTAGATTCGATGTAGACGCCCCGAAACTCGAACACAAGGATTCCTTCTTCGAGAAGATCCTCGACCGCCACCACCACCATGATCACCACAAGCATGGAAACGAGAGCCAGGCTACCAAGGACAAGCCTCACGGTGAAGACCATGACCATGACCATGCCGTCCAGGACAAACATCAGGTCAGCGAAGACCATGCCGCCAAGGACAAGCCTCACGCAAACGAGGGCGGGCTGCGTTCCCAGCTGAAGAAAGACGAGGAACGCCTCAAGAAATATTTCACGAAGGATGAGAAGCGCAGTGAAGATGGGCAAACTTATGGGGGCTTGATGTAGTTCTCTCGCCTTCGCTGAGCACTGTTATGCCTACACGAACAATCAGGGAATATTGCGGGGGAAATTCTGCTGTTACCAGGGTCCAGGGTCCACTTAATTCTTGATGTTATAACGTACTGAAATAAATATGAAGCTTCATGACTGCATGCGCTAATGTCCGTGTTGTCCGTGCATTGACGATAAAGCGAATCCGGCGACCAACTGTCATCCATTAATAGCTGCTTGTTGTTTTTGCTTCCGAGGCAGTAAGTAAAGTAATTAAGAAGACATTTCTCAGCTCCCTGGAGTACTTCCAAACCAAACGTGATAAAGCGCAATTTGTTGATTGAATTCCCCACTAGAGGAGCCGGAGGCCCGCGGGGATCTTGTTCTTGGTCATAAGGTGTTGTTGGGAGCCGGGACTACATAGTCGAAAAGATGGGGAGATGGGGATCACATGATAGGACCCTGGGAAGATAGAATAGCCGAGAATTATCCGTGGGACGGTGCTTATCTCGTCGTCACCATTGGGTCAGGTGACCTCTGCCCTTCGATGGATATACTGAGCTAACAAAAACATACAACAGTGAGGATTCGCTGGTGGTCACCCACCCAACTACTAACTCACCGGCGTGTGGCTTGAGTACGGCTGAGCGGACGGGAAGCCCTATTTTCCACACCCTATGGTCGTATGTACCAATTTAAGTGGGGGAGAGGTATATAGAGCAAGATAATTGGGGTTTGAAAAGACTGAGTGCAAGAATAATAGGCAGGTGAGAATTGGGTGAGCGCCGCTTTACGGTCGCGCGACCGGGGGTGAGCAGGGTGAGTGCGCTATAGACAGGGTGAGAAGCTGGGTGAGATCAGGGTGAGATTTACCCTAGGAGTGCAGCGGGATGGATCGTCCAATTTGGGAACACAACTCGCAAATCAGAGTTTTCACTAGGGGTTTCACCCCACACAACACCCTCAGGCACTTCCCTCTCTTCTCAATACAACTCTCTCCTTTCTGCTTCCTGAGCCTACAACCTGTAGTCTCACCAATATTCAATATAGCGGGTCAACAACATTAATTTTTATCCCACCACAGATCCAACCAGACAATCCAATTAATCATTGTGAATTGAATCGGTGTTCCTCTCTTACATACTTAAATCCACTGTCCGAGTTTTGCATTAATACGAGCTACCCGTAAGTTCTAGGATACGGTTTTCTCTAACAGGAACTAGATCTAGATCTCATACCAATAAATTCCTAAATGTTTTCCTTGGTGTTTTTTCTCTTATTATAGGTTGAGAAAGGATAATCAAAAGTATTTAGACTGCAACAGAATTCTTCCATGGGTATTTAAGAGTGTTCCACGGCCTATGCGCAGATACACACGGAAATTAGCACTAAGACAAACCGTGAAGTCTTACTAACAATACTTGGATGTTAAGGTGGGAGGGGGCTTGGTGATTTGGGTCGGTGGAGAAGAGAAAATGTAGTGGAATTTGCTTCTAAGCTGAACGCTAGTATACAAAACATGCCAGCGCCTGATATCTGAAGAACCAAGCAACAATTCTCCACAGCTGGACTGAAAGTCCATTTCAATTTCAAACACACCAACTGGGGAGCTCCATGGCAGTACGGACTCGATGGACAGCTCAATCGGGGCGGCTCGACCAATCTGGGAGGTACAGCTCAAACCCTTGATCTTTGCAACGGACGTTACGATATGGAGGAAGGAGTGATTTCCGAAGCAGGATGCGCGGCTAATCAAAGTGAGGACATCAATCCGTGAACTGAATTTCCTAGATTTCTTGGGCGATCTCCTTGAGCGCATTCTCATCAATGATTATGTCGCCCTCCCTAGGAGTTTCTGCAGGTCGGAGGAAAAAAAGGTGGAACGGAATGAGAAGTGGGCCAGCGGTTAGTGTGACTTCGTCACCTTCACTGCTTTCGATCATCTCGATAGTTTGAACATTTTCGATCTCTGCCTTGGCGGTTTTATACTGCCATCTTTTGATGGTAATCTTGGGCTTCCTTCGGTCTGCTTTTATGGCTAGTCCGACCTTCGCGAGACCATCGATTGGGTCGAGCCACCGGCCAATATCACGAATCAACTTGGTGTGCGTCTCAGTAATTACTACTTCAACTACCACAGTTGGTCTTCGCGGGCTTCTAATTGGTGGTCTTTTTAGGCCCCACGCCCTATCTGGTTGCTTAGACCCGTTGGCCACAGTAAGCGTGGTACTACTGTAGAGATAGATAGATTTTTTGAGGCCTATCGGACCCAAGACCTCTAAAATAGCCGTATGAAAAGCAAGAGATATCTGTTTGTGTTCGTGAAATAATAATTTGACGGCTAGTGAATCAATGTTTTGATCGAATATAGTGCGGATACCAAGTTTAGGTTCGACATTCGGATTTAGGAAGTCAAGATCGTGCGTAGCCGTATCAATGGAGAAAATGATATATTCACTCACATCTTCAGGTTTCTCTAAAGCATCTAAGTTTCCATCATTGTATATTGTATTGGACATGGTTTTGATAGAATGTGTTGAACGGCGAAGGCGCTTTCGCTCGATATCAACGATTTGAGAGAAGTTTTCTTTTCGATAGTTATACCGCCTGACATATAAAGGTAGCCCTTCCGGGCCACAGCTATGTTCGTTGAGCTCAGACATTGCACAGATTTCCACTAGGATGTAGAAGGAACGCGAAATTCTCACGACTCGTCATGCTAAAAAAATAAATGTGGCGGAGCTGTTGGGATATTGTCATCATTACACGGGTGCCGGGAGTCAGAGAGCAACCTTGGAAAGTTTAGCTGCAGCACATTTAAGGCACCATAGTCAATATCTGGTTTGGCTTGTTAAATGAAGGGGTATTGTAGAATAGGAGGTTCCAATCAATGGTGTTAAACCTTGTCTCTGTATTTCTGTATCGGCCGTCACTTTTACGTATGTTTTGTACATCCATGGATGTATATATCTTTTCATTCAAGACAAGAATACACTCAAAACATATTAATTTTGACAAATCTTTTTTATTTCAAGTTGAATTTAATAAAATGTACGTTTTTTTTTCCAATTATTTGTTTTACTTGAGAGAGTAAAAAGGTAGTGAAAATAGGTATAAGCTCTGTAATTGATGAAAGATATGCTGGATATAGTTCCCAATCGGGGGTTTCAACTTTAGATGTTCCGACCGGAAGAAGCTGACTGGGTGTCCCCTGAAGTTGTCAAACAACAGACAAGAAAACAGAACGACCACGGTCGTTCCAATATGAAATTGGTATTTCAGGAAACCGAAGATCAGGACGTGAAAAATTGGTAATGGTAGTGTGATTGCCTAGGAGTAGAGATGCCTCCCGAAGGATGGAAAGATCCGACCCCGGGGAAGATCACTGATACCCTCAAGTGCTATAAACCCCTGCTGAGAATACCGAACCGAGAAAGTGCGCGGGAAGTATGATTTACGTAAGCTAACCACCCGTCCACGGGTCCACGGGTCCACGGGCTGACCCGTCGACCGAAGTCTTATACACTCTGCCAAGTCTTTTCTACATCCCACTCAACTTGAACTCATCATCTATTCACCAAGTCTTCCCGTAGTTGATTCTAGTAGACCACAGCTGTGAAGAAACTGGATATTTCAGCCCTGCGTGAATTCTTCTCGCCTTGTCTTTTGCGTCCTCTCTGAGCATCGTGAATTTGCCTCGCCTTCGTCTTCTACGAACATCTCCTTATCCCACCTCGCGTCATTTGTTCCGTCCTCTCTGAAGTTCGGTCTGTTTCGTCGCCCTCGTCTTCCATATCCTGACTCGCGTCATTTGTTGCGTCCTCTGAGGTTCGTGAATTCTTCTCGCCTTGTCTTTTGCGTCCTCTCTGAGGATCGTCTTTCAATTTCCCCCACTTCTGTCGATAACAGTAAGCCCCTCGGCTCAGGGTCCCAGAACGTTTTTTGTCATTCCACCGATTATTCCATCTCCCAAAACATGGAACCAGCCCAGACGCAGTTGGCTAGAGCTACTCCAGCTGTAAGCCAGAACGGAGGAACATTGAACCCATCAATCCATTCCGACCGTCTGTCAGTCGCCTATATGTCTCTATGGAGTACATTCCAAACGGACGCTTGCCGAGTGTTCCTACAAGCTGGTATAGCCCATGAAGTTCCACTGAACGATGAGACGGAACTTTACACAGTCGGTAATGAGCTTGGTTTAACCGGGAGGTTTGTCCGCAATGTCTGCGACCCAGTTATCAAAGCCCTCGAATTGGTGCCAGGTATGGCGTCAACCCGATTTGCTGATTTTCAGGCAATCTCCACCCCACAAATGACTACCCCAGACGTATGTTTGGGGCTGGTTGCGACCAGCCTTAGACCTGGTAACGTTCATCTGGTTGGAGAAATGAAAACGCCCTGGACCATCTCGGACGAAGATCTTCATATCAACCGGCCCGAATCATTTCGCCTCGAGCCACTGATAGGTATGCCTGCCCAGCATTCTCTCACTTTCACGTCAAGTTCGCTGACTCTTGGCCCTTTGCTTAGGACAACTTGTTGCTCAGATGCGCACATGTTCAACTCGGTTTGGATTTCTGTCCACCTACAACTCCACCGTTTTTGTTAAACGAGAAGCCGACTCTTCTTTTCTCCTTTCGTCGCCTATTTGGCGTGGCGTTACACGGCCTTCCCTTCGCCAGTTACTTGCTGGTTTCTGTTTAATGGCCGTGTCGGAGCCAAAGTACGTTGAAAGCGAGACATTTGAGCCAAGAAACGTAAGTATTGATTTGGGCAACTGTCTGGGATATAGAAAAGCTGCTAATATACTGAGAAGCTACGAGGCCCTCCTCCTTCCCGGGTCTCCGGCCGTCTACTTGATATTTCAGCTTACCACTCCCCGTCGATGGCGAACCAAGAAGAGACTATCACATCGAATAGTGTGATTATTAACGCTGGCGGACCTACCCCTAGGGTCGTTAACTGCCTTCAGCTGTTATCAGAACCAACAGTTCAAAACAAGGCGACCTGGCTAGCAACTATGGGTGGATCAACGGTGATACTCAAGTGCTGGGGACCTCAATACGATGAGCTGTGAGTCAGATTACTTCAATAGCTTGCTATTGGAATTACTAACTTGTTACGTTTAGGTTTGAAGCGGAGGCGGAAGTTTACAACCGCATTTGGGCCCAGCAGCCGGCCGGACGTCGCAACTTCGCCAAGTGGATCTCCAGGGGGGAAATTGTTTGCTCAACTATATTCCCATCAGGCTATGTTCTTGTTCTAGAGCAGAGAGCCGGAATGCGGCTTGACCGACTCTGGCATGATCTATCCGAGGGTGAACGGGCTTACATTCAGTCCGACTGCCTTAATGGCATCCATGCTTTGCGACAAGTGGGCTTCCGACTTGATGATCCTGGACAGCACAATATTCTCTATGACAGAGATAGTCGTGTGGTAACTCTTCTTGACTTCGAAAGTGCGCAACTATTAGAAAGTCACACCTACATCTCAACATATTATGAGATGCGCATCATATTTCGCTCCGACCTTCTGTTAGGACGTCCATCTGGAGGTTAGGCCGAAAGTTACGGAGGTGCTGAGGGTTACGGAATTGCTCCTGGTTACAAACTCTTTCAAGGTTACGAGGTCGACGAGGGGCTCGGCAGATCCTTCACCTCGATCAGATTGCGTTGATGGTTCTTTCGGTTGTATCGATAGGGCGATAATTGCTTCTTTCAAGACAGAAACCAATTAAACTGAATGCATTTTCTGGATCCAGTCGAGAATCCAGCATTACGGTGACCGACTAGAAGGTATTGGATTGTAACTCTTCAATCAAGTAAGACTAATTGAACAAGCATACCATAGAGTCATTGTCCAGTCTAACAGACTATAACGTTCTAGAGTCCGTTGCAACCACATACACTGGACAATCCGCGTTGCTTACATTCTCGCAATAATAATAAACGAAACCTTTGGCCAGGTCAGCCAATAAGCAGTACAGCACAAGAAATAGCACAATATACCCACCCATATATCCTAGTCCTTCTGCAACTCCTTTATCAGGCTACCTAATCCTCTTTCTCTGGGCCATAATAACACTTCAAACGGCTTCATCTTCCTCTCTATACGAAAGGGCATAAAAGTATTATCCTAGTAACTGAACAGCCTATCCCTTGAATCAAATAGGTCTAAAGAACTATCTAGGCTCACAGTATATCTCCAACAGCCTTCTCTCTTCAGAACACTATTCAACTTCTATATTTATTCTATTCCTCAAAGAACTATCCGTTACCTCTTACTTACTCAATGACTCAGGCAGAAAGACAGTAAGAAAAGGATTCAATAACTACCTGATTGTTATTAACAGGCTCAAGGTACAATATCTATTCAACTTAAGAAGCATTCAACAACAATAGAAGAACGTACAAGATCCAATTATTCCTATCGTCCTCATACATCAGTTGATGAAACTGCGGATGTTAAATCTTGTCCCTGGTAGCGCAGAGTGCATTTATGGCTTTACTCAGATTCATCGCCGTAGAAGACCTATATTTATTTTGTTTTGTTCCTTGAAGTTTCAAACATAACCTTAGAGATAGTTTAAGTGAAAGAAGAAAGGAAGAGAAGATAGAAAATCGTATAAAGATCTAAAGACAGAAAGGAGGAAAAGAGAAAGAAAGACAGAACAACGACTTAAGTGGTCCCTAGTGTCTCGTCTTTTCTCCCTTCACTCTTCTCTCTCGTCGTTTCTCTCTCGTCTTTCCTCCATCGTCTTTTCTAAGCATCACCATCTCTGACTCGTGCCCTCTACATTTTCCGTCCTTCAAGTTCGTGAAAATTGTTTGCCGTTTCTCCCTGTTGTTGCTGAACAACTACCATCTCTCAGCTCGCGTCATTTGTTGCGTCCTCTCTGAGGCTCCGCGAACTTGTCTCGCCTTCGTTTTCCGAAAAACCCTCCTCGGCATCCGCCCACGAACCTTCATCACAGTAAATAATTCCTAATGTTTCCCAGATGAAAGCCTTCCCTGTTTCCTTGGTGCCAGCACCTCTCAAATATATATTCACGTCCGGGAGATGCAAACATGAGATGCCGATGAAACTGTGACTGATGGTCTTCTTTAATAAGTTGAGAGCATGCAGCAAGCATGGACTTGATGTACCACCCCTGCCATTTTTTATTTTGGTCGCCACGATTTGCCCTCCACTGAACCAAGCTGTGCATTGTGGTACCGGGCCACTTTCCTTGCACTCGTTGTACTAGACTGTAGCGAGCCAGGACATCTATGCTTTCATTATACCTGAAGTGCCACTGCCCCCCAAGTCATGCACGACTACTTCATACAAGATGTCTCTCTCTTCGTGTCGTATTGTTGGTTTTCTTTCCAGATCCTTCCATAGCCGGTCTCGTTGCGTATAGCTTGGCACTGTCTGAGTCGGGACGAAATAGATGTGCGTTGGTTTTGTTTGCGTTGCTAATCAAGACATCTGTCAGCTGGTGTTAGAATCCAATTTAACCAGATGATGGGCTGACCAATTTTTCTTCCGCTTTCAGCTTTGAGCCATCTTTTGATATATCTCACCACATCTTCATACGTTTCATCATTTAGAGACTGGCATCCCTGAATCTCCCTATTTAATCTCTCTGTTGAACGTTTTATTGTCCCTTGAATCACTGCTGATTCCCGGTCCACCACCTGAATTGTTATAAGTTGCATATCGCATATGCGGGGGATTTGAAAACTCACATGGGTGATTGCTATGCCCCATAGAAATTCTCTCTCGGCTTCAAAAACGCAAAGAGTCTTGCGAGACATATCCTTTTCGTAGATAAAAGAGTGAATTCGATCGTATAAGTCGTTACTAGCATCTGAGCCAACTTTCATAACTTTCAAAAGAGCCGTATCTGAACCCCTCCAGTATCCAAAAAGAGAAATTATCTCTCCAATAGGAGTGAGTTTTGAACCTCGATGCGGCGTGCTCAAAAAGACAAATCCTCGCAGACTCTCGAGAATTTCAGGTTCCAAATCGCTATTTTGCACCATGTTCACCACAGCCTGTTTCCCTATTAGTTCAACTGAAAATAACTCGATGCTAAACCAACCTTACCTGGTCGATGATTAGACCACCAAAACTATGGCCAATCAAAATGATAGGTCGGCTTTTCTCCTAGGCGAATTAAGTACCTAAATTCAAATCGAAGTCAAGTCCAATCTCTTACCTCTAGGGTTTCTCGTTTACTGGCGAGAGCGTGAATCAAGTCATCGCCCAAATCTTTTAACGACTTGCTTAGGGCATTGCTCATCCATCTCGTATCGTAATTAAAGGCCATGATGCGACAGTTCAAATTTTCCTTCGGTAACAGATCACGAACCCATGACACCTTTTCAGATGAGCGTTCTGTAGTTGTCAGTGAATTCGAATCAAGACCGTGAACGTAGACGATACTGACAAGACAATTAGCCATCAACCCATGAAGAGACCACAAGTTACGGGCACAAACTCGGCAAGAAATGTATCTCGGGAGGTCACGTCGGAGGGGGAAAAGATTGTGATGCGCTCTCGTTTCGTACGCACAGAGCCTCGGAAAAGAACAACTTGCAAAGGGGATAGGGCAGCACATATCAAAAAATTCAACATGGTCAATAGCATTTTGGGGATTGAATAGTTGGGAAGTGAGAAGATGTCACTAATCAGCCATGAAAGAGTAAAGAGGGAAAAACTCCACACTCGATGGAAAAGCCTTTCCGATAGGAACATAGCCCATAAAAGGTATGGGATGGTGATTGTAAACAGCATATTGCTAATACACAGTTATCCAAATGTAAGTTGAAAATATCACGATGAATTATTTGAAAGAGGAGCAGGGGGGTGGGTAGGGAATGGGAGCTGGACACGAATTTGGCCCCTCAGCCATAAACTGAGTCGTCAGGGTGATATCCCACCCTAATGCATGATGGCGGGCCCCAGATGGATTATCTCGAATCATGCAGATGCATTGCTGTCACACATCTGGGTTACTGTTGCCATTGCCGCCCTAGAGGGGCCAGGTGGAGTCTACTGATTGCGAGTCAGACGTGGAATCCGTATCAACCGTCTTCATATAACCGCCATCGAGATTCGTCACGTCAAGATTCGAGGTTGCTCTCTAGTCTATATATAGCACATGCATTAGCCCCATTAATTGTGAGGGGTGCGAATACCCGCGTCTCAGCTTGCAATATTTCTTCATACACGAAGCGTTACCCCTCATCGGCGAAGATGTTCTCGCTATTCTCTCCTCAGGTCTGTCCAGCATGGCTCCGTTCTCCGAGAACTCACAACTCTGTGACAAGCTCACAATAACCGCCGATGGCCACTTGTCGAGGCGAAAGAACAATCTCATTTCTTCATTTCCCTCTACTCAACAATTGACAGAGAAGGATCATCTTCCTGGCGAGCCTAGGATAAAATTGGAGGATGACCATATTGTCAAAACTCTCCAGTCCGAGTTCATGACGCGCAACCTGGACAAACTTTCACCATTCCTTTGGCTGGTCGCCAAACAAGATAGCACTCATATATCAGCCCTCACCCACCAGATCGTGAGAGGACGTGAAGTGATTATCACGGAAGATCCGGGCCTCCATCTGGTCTGGATCTACGATCGAGTCTTCATCAAGCCAATGCCGAAGTATCTCTTATCGTACGCATTTTGGCAGTTTTACCTCGTCGGTAAAAATTCAAAGATCCCAAAGTATCAGCAACAGGAGATCGCAAAGGCAGTTCTCGGATTCATGCGCTCGTACGCCTACCTTATACGCCATAAATCGGACTTCATTCTTGCCACCAATGATAATCACCGATTACTACCGAAAAAAATCACATATTCGTCTTTTGTCAAGTTCATCACTGCGTTTGAGGAGATATGTGACGATTCTGTGTCTCCACGCTACAAATTTGGCGAACTGCGTCTTTCCCGTCTGAACTTCTGGACCAAAATTTTCCTCGGACGTTTCATGTATCACAAGGTGCATGGGCAGTATGGAGCGTATTTTGCGTGTTCATACGGCACCTTACTGTTCATCTTTGCAGTCTTCAGTGTTTTACTCAGTGCTATGCAAGTGGCATTAGCGGTTGTTCCACTTGAAGGTGGATGGTCAGTGTTTGCATATATGTCTCGTGGATTTGCGATATTCACGATTATCTGCGTGGCTTTGATTATAATATCTCTTCTCTCGGTTTTTATTGTTCTTTCTTCACGAGAGATTCTTTATGCCGTGAATGATCTCATCTTGAAGCGGAGAACGAAGAAAGTTGGCACTGGTGTGTGAAAGAAAGGCTGCTATGATCCTTTCGAGCTACATGTAATCTTCTAGACTTTTGTACAGTACACATAATTGAAGGAGGAGCATGTCCTTAAGTCTAAGAACATGTAACTCCGCGGCACGAGGGCAGGAATTACATTGGACAATCGGGGTACGGGCGACTAAGTGGATGGCGGCTTCGGCACGGCGCGTTGCCCGTACCCGTGATCTATGTCCGCCGGGAATAGGAATATCTTGAGCCAAGGGTGGCAGGGAAGTATATGTGATGTTCTTTGGTTCAATGTGACTTAAATGATACTCCAAATCGGATCGCAAAAATGAGAATAATTGTACAATTGCATGGACTGGTAAACAAATATCAAACAGGAACTGCCATGCCCAGGCCTTTCTTCTCAGCGATGTTCTTAACAGGATGAAGTAACATAGATGGAAAGCAGAGTGGTCCGTATAAACCTTTTAGAAATATATATTGAAATCAAATGAAGGTCCGATTATTTGATTTAATACGGAATTAAAATATAATGTACAGGAATATATTATGCGTGATCTAGGAAGGACTCGAGTATTATTATTCGAATAAAGTTGCAGATGTCCTTTGAACAGGGAAGCATATAAGAAATTAAACCAATGTTACAAGACCTCAGACCTCAATTGCCTATGTTTTTGTATCTCGTCTCCAGAGAAACGTCGCATGGTCATAGGCACTGCCAAAGCAAAACGACGCGCACTGCGTACGTAATCAAGCCTCAACCGTAAAAGGCCACATCGCTTTCGCCTCCTCCGCAGCTTTCTCCCCAGAAACCTTCTCGATATACAGGTCCAGTAGCTCCCCATTCTGCCTTCTCTTCTCATTTATATCCAACTGCGGCGCGATCCATCCCTCCGCATCAGTATCAAGACATTCCTCAGCAAGCGCTTGAACGTCATGCCAGGCTCGGTATTCCGCAAACTGACGTCCATGTGCATCGAGCTCGTCCTGGCTGAATGAATAAGGGCATTTCCCCGAGAATCCAAGGCTTGACCAATTCTGTAAAATCTCTATCAAGCATTCGCGGAGCGGGACAATGCCCATTTCGGAGATTTCTCCGCATCGAGTGAATAGTTCTCGGAAGACACGGGGTACATTCATGGCATTATGTGCTGCTCTGTCTTCGAGATAGGTCGAGACCTCATAAGCCTTCGCCAGTTTTACCTGTGACCATTCACGGAAAGCAATGGCTTTGCTCTCCTCGTCTAGTTCGTCGAAGTTATCAGGGAGTTGTGGTTGGAATATTCCCTTGACATAATCGTAAGTCTGCGGAGGCTTGAGAAATATCGGCCATTGCGCCTGGAGAAATGCGGGGAGTATAGACGTTGACTGAAGATCGATAAGGGATACTATTCTTGAACATTCATCTGGGGCGACAAAAATATTTCCCATATGAAGATCGGTGTGCCACAGTGTGGGCTGACAAGCTCCCTTCAATATTCGGTTCGAGTCTAAAAGCTTCATGAGGTTCGCTGTGACTTCCAAGAGCTGGATTTGTTGTTCAACGGTTCCTTTGTAAAAACCCAATCTGCTTTGTTGGCCTCCGTTTGATATTCTAAGCAGTTCACGCCTTGTAATGGATATTCCCAAGCTTGAAATTGAATGCCCTATGAAATATTAGTGGGTGAACTATCAGGTTGTATAGGTAACGCACAGTGTCCTTGGTCAAATTCCAGAGTCACGTCGGGATTATATTTCCTATCGCAAGAAGGTCCAATGCAGAAAGACTTGGATGGATCAATTTCATCACCGAGAGACCTATTTGGTCGGCTCATGTCTGTCCGGAGGTATAGTCCTCCGTAAGCAGGGAATGAGATAGCTGACAGCTGAGCCTCAAGCTTGGTCAAGTTCTTGATCAGCTGTAGCTTTTCGAATTCAGTCATACTCCCCCATCGTTCATATAGAGGAACCCCGGCAGCTTTCTCCATAACTATATATTCGGCGCCAACAGCATTCGAACTATCCGATGACCAGGAAAGAACACGAGGGACAGGAATGCTAGTGTGTCTCCCGACTGGTACGTCTTAGCCACTCGGCTCTCTCTGGAATAGGAACGATCATACCGTATTCTAAAACTCCTACTTCACCAGCCGTTGTCAGTGAGGGCGGACCGGCAATGCGGCATGGGATTTTGGCTATGACTTCCGTTCCATTTGCTTTCCTCATCAAAAAAGCCTTGCTGAACCCCCCTTCCATCTTCTCAATGGCTGTGACCGGACTGGAATCCCCACCGGCCGTGGCCACGGTATTGCAAAGCGCATCCACATCGAACCGGACATATCGTCGGCTGAGCTGATGTTCTTCATCGACCAGGAAATGGCCATTGGTGTAAGCGAAAAGGTCCTCACGGAGAATTGGTATGCCTGGAACATCAGCGACGGTCTCCAGCACGGACTTCCTCGCTTACCTCGGCAGGTTATCGACAGGGGCGCCCCTGGCTGGCCATGGCGCTTCAACATATTTCTGAGAATTGACAGCATTTCGCATGTCTACGGGTTTGAATGAAAAATACGAATAAAATGAAGACGGGGTATTGCTTCTTGCCGGAATGGGCGGCATATCATTCTTCCATGTTGTCGACAAGACTCCGTCCTTGTCAACAAACCAAACTGTTTTGTTTTGAGCGCCAACGCCAATTTTCAAATTCCATAATTCAGTGAAATAATTGTAGTAGCTGATAATATGTATCGACTTGAAGTGCTATGTTATGCTATACAAACACAGTGTCGGTTCAACATATAAATAGAACACGAAATGTAACAGCCCCTATGTATATGCCGGAGCAATTCAAAATATACCAAGCTCAGACCAAAAGCCAAGCTATCAACCTAATTCGACTTGTCCGAAAATGAAACCAGAGCATGATAAGACTCAGTCAAAGGCCACAACCCCTGAGCAAAACCAAGCGCTCCAGCAACAAGAAGTACATAATAAGCCACCGTCCACCGAACACCCAAGCCACTGTTACCCCTTACCCCAACTTTGATACTATCATCAGAATCCTCTTTACCCCGAGTAATAGGGGGACTGATATATTCACCCGCCTGGACCCGTCCCCAGAACCGCGGCAATCCACACCAGTTACAGAAACTATGGATGAGAACCACAGCCAGCAACGAGCCGGTCCGCAAATAGACAAAGGTCGCATACCAGCCAAAAATAGTCGTGTAGCCGAACTGGAAGAGCGACCGCAGCAGGGCAGCCAGAGCCGGGGTGTCCGGATGGGTCAGACAGAACTCGTAAAAGTGGTGCACGTGCGCAATGCCGAAATACAGCGGTGCCAGGAACACGATCCGGCCCGGCGAGGTGTGTGCGAGTAAATGCAGCGGTACCATGGCGGATCGAAACATGACTTCTTCTGTGAAGGGGCCCTAGAGGATATTAGATTGGGATGTTTTGATAAAATAAGAGGGAGGGAAGAAAAGATGGAAAAAGCAAAGCAATTGCATACCGCGACATAATTCCTCCAGCCAATCCAGCCACCGAGACTCTCAGAGAGCTTACTACGACGGAACCAGAACTTCCATTCGCCCTCCACAATGCCACGTTCGAAGAGCGGGCCGAGGAACAGAACCGCGGTTAGGAAAAGACTCCGAAGGGTCTCCAACAGGCCGACGGGCCACCAGCCGAGGAGTCTGACACCGGCGCCAAGGGAGGAATTATCCTCGATGATGAGCCAGAGGACGAGGACGGAGCTCACGATACAGGATCCCGTGACAGCGCGAATGCGGGCGCGAATCACGGACGGGGCATCGCGACTGAGACTTGGCGATGGGCGGGTTGTTGAAGAGAGATAGAATGGTAACACGTAGAGTAGTGTGAGGAGGACCTGATGGGAGTTAGATACGAGGTTGTGAATTGTGGTTTTTTCCTTTTCGTGTTCTTCGTGTTCTTGTTGTTTCTAGGAGTTCTACATACAGAGAGAAAAGCAACGGTATGTTCTGACAGGGCAGGTTCATCTGGATTGTTAGTCGAGACTCTTTTTTTAGGATTCCCCCTTGACTTACCCTGCTTCGAGTACAAACTCTTCAGTCGAGCCATTATCCCTACCGGCGCCATGATCTGCAGAGTTGGGGAGGTTGCTATTTATGGGGATGGATGAGAGAGGAGGGAGTTCTTTGTTGGTGTTACCGTACGGGGAAAGGACAGGTGATTGGCTGGAAATGATACAATACAGTAATGTACTGTCACCATGCACTATGGACGTGATCATGGTTATTCCTACGATTGTTCTTTTGATATCGACAGTTCGACGTTCATATTCCGGTATATATAGTCGATCTATACATAGAATTGACCAGAATCTCGGTTTCAGCCTAGACGAACACCGCCGGTTTCAAGCCAAACCTGATTCGAACTGGTGGACCGTGCAAAAACAGGATGTGAGCTCTCACCCCTGGAATTGTCTGAGTCAATGCGAGGGATCGTGGACAGTTCTTCTCCGATTACACGAGGGAGACATTTATTGGCAATGAGCGTCTGATTATTGTTCTCTGCCTGCATTCTGCCTGTCAGACCTGGACCGACGCATAGATGGAGTAAACTAGTGGCAGTTCATTGGCAATTCATCAGGATCAGGGACAACGCACACCGGCTCCACCTCGATTCTGCGATTAAATGAGACGAGATGTTTCAAGGAGTCAGTTTCTGAATGGATACTCCGCATTAATATGGATTTATATATTTAAACGGCAGCCCAGGGAGTATGAGATGTAAATATCAACAGACAGAACGGACACCAGAACAGAACCAGAACAGAACATCCCAATTGCAACCAGTTCAACCAGAAGAAACAAATCAATTGCAACTTGTACTTTTGATCTCATCCAATCGTTAATAGCCACCAGACTGTCAATTCAAGTGCATGCAGCCTGCATAACCCCTGCAGTCTAAGATCTCACTTGCCTAGACGCTCACCGCTGGGGCAACAAAATTCCTCCCTTCCAAGTGTCTCACGTTCTTCTTCGACTTCGTGTGCGCCTCTGCTTTTCTGTCCTTTTTGTTTTGAAACGTTTTAATGATTGTTCTTCGACCACTCTCTTTAATGGCCTTGGATGTTTGAAACGACCTAATTGACGACTTCTGCACGTCTGCCCACACTCTTTTGATGAACATCAGCCTATAGAACCACCCTGGATATCCAAGGGTACCACATTCCTTACATCGGATACTCAACTCGGAAAACAACAACACTCTTTTGACTTGTTTACACATCTGGTTTGCCAATTGCCCTTTGCCTTCGACTTTACTCAATCAGTCTTTTCAATCAATGCTCTCAGTGTGTCCGAATAATGTCTTTTCCCGCTCGCTCAACCTCGCCCCGCGCGCGAAGGCCATTGCACGAGCGTACGTCCTCGCACTCCAATGAAAGATCACCAACCCGCTCATTACGCATCGTCCCGGATGAAGAACTTGATATGTACACCGCAACCCCATTCCCGACCAAGCCGGAGCAGATTCTCTTGCCGCTTCCCGGGAAAGGACAACAACAATACATATCAGACACCGGTTTCAGCTACTCCGATCACCACCTGGGATCATCCACATCGACCTATTCCTCACCGGCTTTCAGCCACCCGGCACCCCACAGCCCGCGAGATCACTCAATTGGTAGCTGGGATGTATCCTCCACCGTGGATACCGGCAACTCGCCCCCGCAGTTGTGGGATGACGACCCATCCTCCAGCAAGTCGTCGCTGCCAGGCTCGGGGAAAGCACCAGACTATGGGTCCGAGAGTTCAGAGGCGGACTTCTCAGATGATGATATGGGATTGCCGACGACCACCCCAACGATAAAAGCCGTACGCTCGGAGTCAATTATGTCGCCAAAATCTTCTGCCGAGTCCGTGACTGGCTACTCCAGCCCTATAGTTGAACAAATCGGGGCCCCGTCAAGTCCTAACTTTGTGATGCTGGATAACTCGAGCATGAACTTCCATTCAGAGTCGGACCCGCGCACAAACTCGCTCTCGTCGTATAACTCAGGAGGAACCGTGGTTCGGCACGTGGGCTCTGCACCCTGGTTCCAAAACGCCTTCCAACCGGCCTCGTCCGAGCAATCGAGCTATGGATCCCCGTCATTCCACTCCAGCCCACCCGCGCAGTCTATAGCCTCATTCCACTCGAGTCCGATCGCGCAATCCATTACCTCGTTCCGCTCGTCATCCAGGGCGCCGTCAGGCAGCCGTTCCCAATCAGCAACATCCTCTTCGCGCAGCCTCCGTTCCGCTTCTGACTTGCAGGCTGCCATCGACAATGGCGTACCCATTCAATACCCGCGTATTCGCGCGCCATCTTCAAGCTCCCGCACCGGCGCATCGTCAGAACGCGACTTCACCCCTGGCCCTCCATCCGGACGGTGCAATCCCCACTTGGCATCAGGACGCTGGAACCCGCACCTCTCAACTGTCTCATCTATCTGGTCCGCCGATGAATCAACCAAGCTCGCCGGAGAAGCAGACACGGACTCAGACCGCGATATGGCAGCGCCAACCCCACCACCACCAGCAGCCCTAGCGACAGAAACAACCAGATCCTCCGTCTGGCTTGTCGACCCCTCCAACGACAGCGAAGACGAACGTCTCGACAGCCTAACTAAGCTCCCAAACCGCCCGGTCTTCTCCCAAGGCCAAAGTCTCTCCTCCGGCTCAAAGCGAAGCGACAGCACCCGCAGCCTCCAACGCCCAGGCACAGGATCAAGCACAATCCTCAACATCCTCCCAACCTGGGCAAAAGTCTACTACCTCCGCGAACCAATGGGCCTAAACTCAACCCTCTCAATGATGGACGCTTCCCGTCCGCCATCAATCCGTCCACCATCAACCCGCCCACCATCCACTCGGCCACCCTCCTCCCGTCCCGGAACCCCAAACTCAAGCATCTTCAACCTCGTCCCGGGTCCCCTCAACGTCCCCCGTCCCCGCTCCCCAGACCGTCCCCTCCCCGCTGCCCCGCAAAGCCAAGCAATCGCCCAACGCCGCGTAGACAGCGACCCGCGCGATCCCCGCGCCCACTGGGTCCCGTCCCCGCAACCCGAGGACGGCGAGTTCACCGGCAGCCACCTCTACCGCCTCCGCCACAGCTGGTCCCCGCATCTCGTCCCCGACCGACGTGTCGTCCAGCACTCGACGAGTCGGTGGCGGCCGCCCTCCCTCGACTCGCGCTACGAGCCTGTCCTCGGCCGGCGAAATATCCAGGTCTACTCATTCTGCCTGGGTTTCATTTTCCCGCCGGCGTGGTGTGTGGCTGCGTTCCTGCCTCTGCCGCCTAAGCCGAAGGTCGCGCAGATGGTCGAGTTTCACTCTCCCGATGTGGGGATGGCGCTTGAGGCTCAGAATATGAATTTGCAACAGCGGAGGAGGGATAATGCGCGCTGGTGGAGGAATCTGAATCGGTGGATGATTTCTCTTGGAGTTGCTATACTTGTTATTATTATTGTGCTTGCTGTTATTGGGACTAC